ACAGCAGGAGCTGGAGCTTCTCAATGCCTACCAGAGCAAGATCAAGATGCAGACAGATGCCCAGCATGACCGCGAGAAGAAGGACCTGGAGCAGAGGGTGTCACTTCGGCGGGCCCTGCTGGAACAGAAGGTTGCCTTCTATAAATGATTCTTGAGATTTACACTGGTCTGACCATTATTATTGACAAGATTTGAGTTTTAGAGTTACTTTGAGTACACCCGCACAGGTTTTCAGTCATTCTGGTCAAAGGTGGTCAAAGCTATGCTGGGAGGTCAGTGGACTCCCAGGTAGGCTACTAATAAAATTGATATAGGTGCAATTAGGTATAGGTGTAATTTGTCCAGCTGTAACAGGTGTGACAAAATCAACAGCACAGTCTGTAAACCTCCACTCTGTCCTAGAGAGGTCTAATTAGGTCAAATAAGTGAAAACATCTGTGCCAGTGTACCATGGTTGTGCTGGGCCTTTAATAGTATATACTATACTAGGACCCTGAAACTGAAGCAGCTAAATGGAACGCAGCTATCATTAATTATATTGGTTACACCTGTGCATTTCTTGAGCAGCGTTACACTGGATTTGTGTTTAGGAGAAAATGATCTCTGTTCCATTCGGGCTACTATTTGTCCAGGCTACTTCCTATCTAGTCCAAAAATCAATGTTATGATTTCTGTTACAGTTTATAAACACATACAGTATATAAATATTCTTATTCACATTTTTTTCCTGCAGATTGAGGAGGAGATGTTGTCCTTGCAGAATGAACGCTTGGAACGAATCCGGAGCCTGCTGGAACGTCAAGCCAGAGAAGTTGAGGCTTTTGACTCAGAGAGCATGCGCCTGGGCTTCAGCAACATGGTGCTATCAAACATCTCCCCAGAGGCCCTTAGCAATAGCTTTCCTGGGGCTTCAGGGAGTTGGAGTCACCATCAGCAGCACCACCCATCTGGGAGCTCCCAAGGGCCACACTGGGGCAGTGGGAGTTCAGGCTTAGGGTCAAGCCACCAAGGCAGCCATCACCACTATCACTCCAGTCCAGGAGGGGCATCTATGCAGCAGGGCTGGGGGCAGGGCATGCAGGGAGGTGGGGGTCCACCAACGTGGGGCCACCCATCAGCAGGAGCCCTGGTCTCCCGCAGCAGTGGAGGTGTACAGAACAGCCCCCAAGCAATGGGGAGGACATCCTCAGGAGGGCGCAGTGAGCAGAACATGAGCAGGAGTACCAGTGTCACCTCTCAAATATCTAACGGGTCACACCTCTCCTACACATAGATCCCCCGTCAGCCATGGAGTCAGAGTTTGAGCGTGGAGATGTAGAATCCAACAAACGCAGCAGGACAGAGTGTTGGCTGAGCTCTGCTGCTCTGTCTCTCTCTGTGACACTTCCCCTTCGTTTCTCCCGTGTACAGATGTGGATGTGTGATTAAATAAATGTTGCTCAGGTCAAAAGGGCTGGAAAAGGCACAGCCCGTCCTCACGGCAGTTTATCGGCACACATACAGATCCTTAAATTTATGTTACATAAGCAATTTGAGTGTCAACGCATAATACTCCCATTTGTTTTTATTTACAGCTCTCTCATATGGAACTTTTAGAACATATGTTTTGTGCTATTTACAGCCATTGCTCTCATTTTGCACATGAAACACTGTTAAAAAGCCTTTGACATGTGTTAACTATGTCCTTAGAAATGTGGTATCAAACAATCACTGTTTTGTTTAGGACCCCCCGCCCATCTCCTTGACTCACCCAATTCATTACTCATTTATACACTGGCCAATTCCCTGATGATGGTTAAAAATGCAGCAGACCTAACTAAAGATTTTTTTATTTGCTTTGCTGTTGTGATACCAGCCTGCTGTAATGGTCATTGTGATAAATTAGATGCCTCCTTCAAATATAGTTTTATTTCACCTGATTTCCTGGTCATCAGCCAAAATGAGACTTTAGAAATTCAGAGCCAGAAAAACTAATCTTAACTGTTTAAGGCTTATGCTACATTATTACAGTGCCTTGTAACCTTTGATTATAAAAATCTTAGATGTTAATAGTTTAATACTTTAAATTTCATCAACCACTTCTAATCAGTGCCAGTGTATGTTTAGTTCAGTCTATTTTAACACCTGTGATTTTAGTTACAGAGATCCCAAATACTTTTTTCAGATTATTATATTCACTGTGTATGCAGTAAAGTTGGTTTAAGTGTTATAGATTTTGAGGAATAGATAATTACTTGTGCATATCAGTAACTATGGTTTTAGGTCTTTAGAGTGGCGGTACTCTAGGGGTGAACTTGGAAACCCCTGCATTACAGAGAATGTCATTGTACATGTTGAGAGGAGGAATTGTGCGGGGAAAAAACTCATTTGCCTTTAAAACAATCCTACTATTGATCTGTTGATTTTTATTAGTGCCTTTTTAAAACTGCTGCCTTTTTCAAAGCACTTTATACAGCAAAATATGTGTAAAATTAATATCTGACTTCTTTTCGCAAAGCACCTGGTAGATGAGTGTTTTGTTGGTACGCATGTTGTTAAGTTGAGGAGTCAAGCTAACCTGTGCTGTGATTTTTAGGAGCAATTTCCTGAACACGGTCAAGGCCTAGTGAATGGCAACAAAATATGTAAGTGAAAGCATTTCCCCCTTTCTGCAGCTTTCACTGTGTTTTGAATGTGGGTTTCACTGTAGCTGTAGGGTATGTCCTCTCTGTGTTCATGCGGATTTTGAATGAAAACAGGATGTGAGGATGCTGCAGACTTTTTAGATGTGTTTTGGCTATAATTTCCATAGAACAAGTTCAACTGAGTTAACTGAAGAGAGCCCATTATGTGCAGGCAGGCAGTGTAAGGTAATTGTTATGACCATGACAGCAGGCTTGGCACTACTAAAAGATAAATAAATTTAAAAAAACTACAACACTGTTGGAAAAAAATGTTGGGGCCCAGTTAAGTAACACTAAAAATTTGAAGGGTGCTAAGTTATAAATGATACACCATCTCAGCAGAACCCAGGTACAAGGGTGACTGAATCAAGCACATGCTCGCATGATGACATTGTAGCATATACATGTAAATGTAAAATTGAGTCAACGCACATGCTGGAAAAATGGCCAAATACAAAATCAATGTGTCAAAAAGCACTTAGGTATTTCTTTGATAGCTCTAGCAGTTCCTATCCTATCTGAATAATATCTTTCTGCTCGCTTGCTTCTTTCTGGTTGATGGAATATCACTGGAGAAGCCAGTGCCCTTTTAAACTTTTAACAGCCTCTCTGTTCATGTGAGGTTTCACATTTCCATACAGAGAATTAAAAACACTTTGATGAAAAGGCCTTTAAGGATAATTATTCATAGATAATAAGAATATATGCTCCCCTGAATCACAAAGCTGGAGTTAAATGTTCATATGTGTATATTGTATTAAAGAAAACATTTAAAAACTAAACTTGCATTTTAAGAAAATAATTTCTGAAACTAACTTTATTTAACTGACAGATCACATTGATATTAGCAAACCTTTTGCTCTCAAAGTTCAAGTGGTTTTGAGTTGTCTGGACATAGCTCATTGGAAGATATTGTTGGTTTTGTGTACAGAAACAAATGCCTCATATGCATGTGTTTGCTGTCATCTCCTATAAATGCCATTTATTTAGTCACCAGGCCATCTGAGCATTATTACTGCAGAGTTTGTTCTCTCCCGCTCTGCACATGTTTGACAATTTGTCCCCATTCCACTCTGATTCAGAGCCAACTTTTCAGATGCTGGCTCTCTCTGAATGTCATACTGTGATATATATTCCTATCATACTCGAGGACACAAAAATGCTGGGGTCTTTTTCTTAAATAGGTGGGATTTCCATTTCCCATGTGTATATATCCTACCTAGAAAGTATGCATTATAACAAGTTCTATATGGTTTGGTCCCAAAACTCATAAGTTTTTTTTTTTTTTTTATGCCAAGTCCTTAGTTCCAGCTACTGTAACACAACAGGTTGCATTCATCATTTCTTTTCTGATTTACTGATATTTGATAAAGGGGAATGTATTTATCATTATTGGAATCTTACCTTAAGTCAAAAGCCAAGGCCAAGAGTTTGAATGTTAGGCCAATCAAACCTCACATACATGCCAACCTTAAGTTTGTATGCACAATTTTTGTTCACTTTTGTGTCAGCGTTGTGTGTGAGGGAGTCTGGATATTGTTGTCAATCATTGTCATAGTCATAAGACCCTCTCCACCAACCTGGATTTTATTTGTTATTTTAATTTTTTTTACTTAAACTTTGATGTCAAATTTTGTCCTACTGACTGAAAGTATATGGGATATTGAATGAGAATCGGCAACAGAAAATGGCGATCCTTTCTATGGTCAAACACTGTGCCATACCTGAGTTGCCAAGCCCAGATACCACTGCATTGTCTCATCTCCATGTTTTACCTATCATTGGGCTGATGGCATGACATGTAAGATACATAAAAATAAGTTGGTTCTGGTCTAGTGCCCAAAGTAAAAAGGCTTGAAAAGATGTTGTGGTGACAGGCAAATTATGAAAAGAGATTGCATTTCTTTGAAGATGTCAGTATTCTTCTTTGGCACATTACCACTACAACTCATAACCTGTATTAAAATGTATAGATGGTGGAGATTGTTATTGAATGTCAGAGAGATTATGAAGATACTACACAAGAGATGGTAAAGTACTAAAAGTGGATTTAAATTGTGTAAAAAGGTTCACAAAACAATAAAAATAGGATCAAATTTACTATTTTGTTTGTATTATATTTACCATTGTGTTGGCAGAGGGATATTGAACAGAAATCAGCTGTAATAAAGTAATTTTAGTATAACTCGCCTTGTGTGTGTGTTTCTTGGACCTCACGTGCAACATAAGGTTGCTTCTGTGCCATACATGATATAGTGTCAACGCTACTATCATGACAGAAGAGAAATGACAGGACCTCTGAGGGAATCAATCAACCAATGCGAAGTGGTCCCAGAAGCGGAAATACATGCAACGTACTATATGACGAGCATTGTAAACAAAAGTGAATGTTAGCATTAGCTACCCTGGAAAGGGAAGGGAATGCCGTCTCAAGAGTCTTTGACTTGAGTAAGTAGTCTCAAAACAAGATTCAATATTCATTTTGCGCGACTTACCTTTGTGCTAGTCCCGTTAACAATATGAATATTTAACTAATGTTAGCTGTAAATTGCAACTTGCACTAATGCATTCCTTTATTGGTTAAAAATCCTCGAAATAACGGTGCAACATATGCATTTAAATGTAATCATTAGTGCTAAAGACAAAACGAATGGCTTTTGCTTTACTAACAACACAGACAAGCGGCTTTAAAATAAGTAGCTGTTAGCTAGCTATCCGGTTAGCACAGCTACTTGTAGCTGGACTTTTACTAGCATGCTAAGTTAGTCATCGTTATTATTTGTTTAACACTAAACATTTTCCCTACATCGACAACATTGACCAACAACTGTATGAATCACTGCAACGATACACAAACTCTCGTAACGTCAATGATATTAGGTCGTATTGTAAATTTGTCGACATTTAACGTTAGCTAACATGTTTGGACACTGTTTTGCTAACTTTACTTTACAGCAAAATAAAATCAGAAAAGTGGGAGGTTAGCCAGGTAATGTTTCTCAAACATCAGGTTTAACTTTACGAACCAGCCACCACATATCTATTGAATTTTATTTTATTTTTTTTATATTTGTATAGTGTATATACTGCCAAACAACACTTGCTTGTTTAGGCTTAGCTACATTATTATGCTCAACCCCATAATGTTATTGCTTAATGCAATACGTTTGTGAAGTATTAGTTATTCAACCACTTCCTATGACAGTATTTTAAATGGTGTACTGTAGATGTCAAATACCAAATATACATGGGGTTGATTAGCACAAACCAATTACAGTATAAGAATTATAATGTATGAAATATACTAAACAAGTTTGATAAAAATGTAAGAAAAAATACTAATAAAAACAAGCACATTATTAACAATATTTCCTCTTTTATGTATATGCATCTGTTAAAAGTTGTCCAATACGCTCACACACACTGTCATCAATAAGTTTATTGAAAGCAGCAACATTTTAGTCACAGACCCAAGTATGAACTGAACATGAAAAAATATGACTTGCAACATTTCCAAAACTGATTTAATTCAACCAGAGACATTAAAGTGATCATATAGATTTTAAAAATAGTTGAGTTCAGAGTTAAAGAATGGCATAAAAAAGTAAGAGAACAGGAGGAATTTTTTTTTAGAGTCACAATATACATAAGATCAATTCCAGTAGGTGTCACTTATTTCTACTCCATGCATGTTGTCCTCACAGAGCTCCAGGATGTTGTGTGAAGTCCTGCTGTCATCGCTATGGTTCCTGTTTGTCATCTTCTGGGTCGAGACAATAAGTGTGTGGCTGTTTTTGTCCATGTTCTACCAGGACCGAGCATTTTACCACTGGGGAGATGGGTAAGAGATGTGTGTCCATGGTTAACTCATTTATGTGCATCGCATATTCATAATAGTTTGTTCTAACTATTTTGGAAGTAATGGGAAAGAAGAGAGCATTGAATGACATGCAATGAAAGGTAAAGCATTGTCTCTGTTTCCTTGATAAGCTCCAGAATTAGACCTTAAGAGTCCTCAACTCCTGTCCTGAACCAATGAATGTAAAAACACTTCAGACCTCATGGGCAGTGTCTATTATGGAATCAGTGTTGTGTGTACTTAGTTCATGGGTTAGTGAGCATAATCTTTTAATGGACATATTCTTTTGATGTTACAGGGTATTTACAGATGATCCTGGACCGATGATATACATGTTGAGCAGGTATGGACTTTGCCATGACCCTGAATAATTGAGCTTATGACATTTTGTTTTGAAATATGAACTGTGTGTCTAAAGACAAGGTCTAATCTCTTGTCTCTCTCCACAGAGTTGATACCAGTATGCAGACAGAGATGCAGACCTGAGACAGGAAGAGATCAAGAAGTCAACTGGAAGACACTAAATAGAGGGCTGTTGCAGTTATGTGACAGGAACATATGATGAAAAGCATTAGCTCTTTTTCCTTTGCACTGACTGCCTTGTACACAGTTGTGCACAGTCCTTGTTAACATACAACTATATTGCCAAAAGTATTCACTCACCCATCCAAATAATTGAAATCAGGTGTTCCAATCTCTTCCATGGCCACAGATGTTTCTACAAACATTTGTGAAAGAATGGGTCGCTCTCAGGAGCTCAGTGAATTCCAGCGTGGTACTGTGATAGGATGCCACCTGTGCAACAAGTCCAGTCGTGAAATTTCCTCGCTCCTAAATATTCCACAGTCAACTGTCAGTGGTATTATAACAAAGTGGAAGCGATTGGGAACGACAGCAACTCAGCCACGAAGTGGTAGACCACGTAAAATGACGGAGCGGGGTCAGCGGATGCTGAGGCGCATAGTGCACAGAGGTCGCCAACTTTCTGCAGAGTCACTCGCTACAGACCTCCAAACTTCATGTGGCCTTCAGATTAGCTCAAGAACAGTGCGTAGAGAGCTTCGTGGAATGGGTTTCCATGGCCGAGCAGCTGCATCCAAGCCATACATCACCAAGTGCAATGCAAAGTGTCGGATGCAGTGGTGTAAAGCACGCCGCCACTGGACTCTAGAGCAGTGGAGACGCATTCTCTGGAGTGACGAATCGCGCTTCCCCATTTGGCGATCTGATGGACGAGTTTGGCGGTTGCCAGGAGAACGGTACTTGTCTGACTGCATTGTGCCAAGTGTAAAGTTTGGTGGAGGGGGGATTATGGTGTGGGGTTGTTTTTGAGGAGCTAGGCTTGGCCTCTTAGTTCCAGTGAAAGGAACTCTGAATGTTTCAGCATACCAAGAGATTTTGGACAATTCCATGCTCCCAACTTTGTGGGAACAGTTTGGGGATGGCCCCTTCCTGTTCCAACATGAAAGTGCACCAGTGCACAAAGCAAGGTCCATAAAGACATGGATGAGAGAGTTTGGTGTGGATGAACTTGACTGGCCTGCACAGAGTCCCGACCTCAACCCGATAGAACACCTTTGGGATGAATTAGAGCGGAGACTGAGAGCCAGGCCTTCTCGTCCAACATCAGTGTGTGACCTCACAAATGCGCTTCTGGAAGACTGGTCAAAAATTCCCATAAACACACTCCTAAACCTTGTGGAAAGCCTTCCCAGAAGAGTTGAAGCTGTTATAGCTGCACAGGGTGGACCGACGTCATATTAAACCCTATGGATTAAGAATGGGATGTCACTTAAGTTCATATGCGAGTCAAGGCAGGTGAGCCAATACTTTTGGCAATATAGTGTAGGTAAATGTAGGCCCACTTTTAATGTGAAGGCGCAACTAAGACATAGAGGGAGGTCCTCAACGATTGACGTGAGCCACCCCCACTGATGTAACATTTATACTTTCACTTTCAGATTTTTGGGAAGCAGAATGAATGTAGCAGAAAATGCAATACAAAGGATGAGTTTAGTGCATCTTTCTTTTATTTCTTAAACTCCATTTTGAGACTTGCACTGAGATGATATTTTGATCATAATACCGTTCTATGCAACTATAGTTGTTGCTGTCTGCAGCCATATTTGTTTTGAATATCAGATTGCAGTACATCAGTTATAGGTTAGGTCTTTGAATGTCATTAACAGTTATCAGATATTTTGGTGTATGTGTAATGGTACAAGCTTAACAAGGAGGTCATTTTAATATCGGAGGTGGTGGAGCCATACACTTGAGTTTAGATGTAAGTCTGAACCAAACAGATATATGATCATAAAGAGTTCATAATTTGAACGAGGATTTTATGAGAACCCTCACCTACAGTAGATGAACTGTTAAAACAACATTATTTGAGCTTAAAGGTTCATTATTAACATTGGAAATACTTTCAGCTACATCTTGTGGTCTTTATCGGCAGATGGATTTTGCTCAGTTGTCATGTATCTCTGGCCCGATATAAGACCACCTGTTATTACATGACTGAAATTCCACACTGAGGTCACGTGATAACTGAACCATCTCCATGGCAAGTGCAAAAGCACCATCTGCTGATGAAGATCACAAGAGGGGACTGAAAGCCCTGTGTAAACCTTGTGTTAAGATTTTTTTTTTTTTTTTTTGTCAGAAAGGAGCAACACAATTTTGTGGTTGTGTGTCTAAAGACAGAAATATAATAGTGGTGAGGGTATAAACTATGATGGGCTCTCAAAATAATATGTTGATGTCATATCCATTGAATGAGCTGAAAGTTCAATTATACTTTGAAAATATATATATATCTCTTTGCAAGCCTGTAAAGTTATTGGTCTGCCAGACATTTTTGTATTCCATCTTGGTCTCTGTCAATTAAAGGGTTTGTATTTGAACAAAACCACTACATACTTTTGGTCTCCTTTTGTTACTGAGACAAAGAATGTCAATATTGTTGGGTTTTTTTTATCAATATGCTAAATGAATGGGAAGTATTTTAAGTACAAGTTTTTGCTGAGTATGCAACACTGGGCCTAATACCTCACATGCCAGGGCAGCAGAGGTCGCTCACAATAAAGCAGATCTGTGCAGAGCTGTGAGTCTCCAAACACTACCGGGTTGTTGCCCTATTCTGCCGGGACAAAATAAAAATGCATTGTGGTTGTGATAGAAGTAAGAATTAACAGTCGTGTGTAGTTTCACTTGGATCAAGGGTTCCGGTTGACATCAGGCGTGTTCGTGTTTTTATTTTGTGCAGACAAAGAACTTTGCCTTCAGTTGTGAGCAGTTTGTCACAAACATGGCTCCAACGATTCAGACACAGGCTCAACGAGAAGACGGACACAGGTAGTTAAAAATTTTTTACAAGTTCGTTGACCGAACTGGATGTCTGTATTTGACTATTGGTATTAACGTTAATGTTTTAACAAACTTGAGTCGGTAACCTTCATTAGGCTGCGCAGTTTTCCGTTGTGTATAACGTTAGCTAATATTGCCAGTTAGCTAGCCAAACAAACAAACAAACAAGCAAGCAAGCTTTACGTCAATTTAACTTAAGCTCACCTGCTCGCTAAGTGAACTAATCATTTTATTTAGCATAAGTTAACTCACTTAGAAAAGTAAATTAAGTCTTTTCAGTCAGTTATAGTAGGTTACAGTAGTGGAAAATACAACGGCTGACTTTTGTGTTAGTGGTAGCTAAACGTAGTGTAAGCTAGCCAATGTTAGCCTGTCTGGATGCTAACAGTAACGTTAATGAATTTACGGAACAAATATCTGGAGGTTAACATAAAGTTAACTGAGCAGATCCTTGTAGATAATGTGAATGCACCCCACAGTCCTCTAGAATATGTTTTACGTTTAATTTTAATGGTACCAGTACGAGTACTACACTCAGTGACCATATTGTCAGGTGCAGGAGTACAATCTTATGCAATTTGATACATACAACTCTGCCATAAATTTTTACATTTGTGAAGTTAATGTTCAGTTTTTGTTGACATTTTCGAAAATATGTGAATTCACTTAAATGTTTATTACTGAGGTCATAGTTGAAGTTTGTGCTGTACTGGACTACATTATATTGAGAGGTGTTTCAAATTTTTTGTGCTCCCTGTTACATACATGAGGAGGACATCACAGTATAGTGTATACATCACAGTCTAGCAGTAGTTTGAGAGGTGGTAACAGAATTGACGGATGGCTCTTTTCTCTTTCAATAGGCCATCCTCTCACAGAACTGTCCCAGAGAGGTGAGTAGAATTAACACCGTTTTGTATTGCTACCATGTACAGTAATTTGAAACATGCATCTGAAGTGAGGCACATTAAAATGACTGGCTAACCACAACTGAGTTTGTCCTTTACTTCTGTGCCCGCAACAGGTCAGGAGTTGTCTGTCGTGTGAAGTACTGCAACAGCTTGCCCGACATCCCTTTTGATCCCAAATTCATCACATATCCATTTGATCAGCACAGGTAAATGCAGTTGCCCATCTGCCTCTGCACTCACTAACCATGACGTAAACACAGACACATCTTAACATTTGTTTTTTTGTTTTTTTTTGCTGTGGCAGGTTTGTACAGTATAAAGCCACTTCTCTAGAGAAGCAGCACAAGCATGAACTCCTGACTGAGCCAGACCTTGGGGTCACCATCGATCTCATCAACCCAGACACCTACCGCATAGACCCCAACAGTAAGTCTTCTGTTGTGATCACATGCCACATTCTATTCTTAGTTTTTTCAGAGACTGTCTTAGTCAAATATCTGTGTAAACTGAGCCAAACTTTTAAATTGTCAGTATTGTTGGATCCCGCTGATGAAAAACTTTTGGAAGAGGACATCCAGGCTCCATCCAGTTCGAAGAGGTAAGTCTACTAAATACACAGCCTGATGTTTTAAATTTATGCAAAGATTTTTAGTTTACACTTTTTTTTTTCTCCTCTCAAAGGTCACAGCAGCATGCCAAAGTGGTCCCGTGGATGAGAAAGACAGAATATATTTCTACAGAGTTTAACAGATATGGCGTTTCCAATGAGAAAGTGGAAGTCAAGTAAGTCATTTACTGATTTTACCTTGAAATCACCCAACAATAGAAAGGTATATGATATAGTTTGTTTGTGTGTGTGTGTGTCTAACCTAGACATGTTTTGTGTTCAGGATCGGTGTCTCTGTCAAACAACAGTTTACAGAAGAAGAGATCTACAAGGACAGAGACAGCCAGATTTCTGCTATTGAGAAAACATTTGAGGATGCACAGAAATCGGTGAGTGAACATATAACTAGGCTGGCCAAATCCTTGTTGTTTAACATCCTTCATACATCAAGCAATATGAATAGCTAAATGGACAGTAGTTTCAAACTGGGTATTGAAAGACCTCATGGGCAAGTGAAAATGTTCAATGTGAAGATAGATATCTGGTTAAGATTCTGTTAGCTGCGACCAAAAAGGCAGTCACTAGGAAGTGGTGCAGAGAGGAACCTCCCACTTTGAGGAACTGGTTGGACATTGTGGAGGAGATATTTGATATGGAGAGACTCACACATATACTGAGACTCCAACAAGTTAAATTCAACACGAAGTGGGACAAATGGACAACATATAAGTCTCACAACAGAGACACCACTAGAGACTCTGAATGAAAACAGAGGAGCATAGATAGGGCATCAAGAAGCCGTATTACCCACGGACACTGTCAATGTTTGTTTGTGTTCTGTGTTTAAAATTAATAAAATTTGAGTATTTAAAAAAAAAAAAAAAAAAAAGAAAGACCTCATGGGTTTGCAACTCCACATATGGGGATTGTGTGAAAATGTCTGTGAATATTAGGATGAGTAAGATATCTTCCTCTAAAGCTTTTGCTGTGGAGCAGCTGTGTACAGTAGGATACTGTTTGCAATGGTCAGCTGTTAGATGCACATTATCCAAAATGGTCAACATGTGTGGTTAGGTAATTGAAAAATGAGCCATGGTTTATAAAGTTGTTGTTGTTTTGTTGTTTCTCTCTAGATTACACAGCACTACAGTAAACCCAGAGTTACTCCTGTGGAGATACTACCTGTATTCCCTGACTTCAAGGTGAGCGAGCTATTAACAGAAATAATTTCACCCAGTTTATTGATTTTTGGAGTCTGTGTGGATGATTTCACATTGCATGCCATATACACTGTAGTGGGAGAAGTGCAGAGATGGGAAAAGACAATAAACACTAAACAGTAAAATAAAGCAAATTTATATGCAACAGTAAAAAATCTGTTGCTCAAATTGCCTTTTTGAATGGTACTTTAGTTGACAAACTGGCACTTTATGGACTTAGATAATTATGCTTTATACATTTTCTCTTTCCTCAGATGTGGATCAACCCATGTGCTCAGGTCATCTTTGACTCTGATCCTGCACCTAAAGACATATCAGGGCCAGCAGGAGTGGAAATGATGTCTCAGGCCATGATCAGGTGTCTACAAAATAGCTGTTGTGCAGATGTGTGTATAAAAACCATTTTTGCTGAAATACTAATTTATGTTTCTTGTCTCTTGAAAACAGAGGTATGATGGATGAGGAAGGAAATCAGTTTGTGGCCTACTTCCTGCCCAATGAAGACACACTTCGCAAGCGCAAGCGAGACTGTGAGGAGGGAATGGATTACATGCCTGATGATCTGTAAGTAAAAATGTTACATCAAATAAAAACCAAAAATAAATCTTTTTTTGGTGCATTTAAAAATAACAGTGTTAAATTTGCTTGCTTTAAGTTGTATACCAGGAAGTAATAATGCATTTTATTTTCTGTGTTTCAGGTATGATTACAAGATAGCCAGGGAGTACAACTGGAATGTCAAGAACAAAGCCAGCAAGGGTTATGAGGAGAATTACTTCTTTATCTTCAGAGATGGAGATGGTGTTTACTACAATGAGCTCGAGACAAGGTAAATCATTGATTAGAGAAGACACTTCTTTATTGTTGCACTTCAACACGACGAAAGGGAGATGTGTTTTTGACAGCAATAATTGCAGCTGGTGCAGTTAGACCAAGCAAGTAAGTGTGGATGTGAAAGTGTTGATTGCTATGCATTAGAAAGTTTGATGCCAGTTAGTAACACACAAAAACAAACGGCACCGCCAGTGACGTATGGGGCTTTCATGGGAAGCTGATTGGCCTTGTCCTCTGACATCCTTTCCTCTCTCCTGCAGGGTGCGTCTGAGCAAGAGAAGAGCCAAGGCTGGAGCACAGTCGACCACAAATGCTGTGCTGGTGTGTAAGCACAGAGATATGAACGAGAAAGAGCTTGAAGCTCAGGTGAGTGTTCTTGTGACTTTCCCCTCTGTTTTATCAACATTACACTTTCAAGGCTTGGAGCATCTAATGGTGCATTTAATGGGCCAGTCGTTTATGTGTTGGTGAAAGTGTAACTTTTGAGTTATGATTTGTGGATTATAATAAATTATTTATGTAACTAAAAGTTACTATTTATTACAATACATCTGACTGTATTTGTTTTAAAGAATATTACACGAGTTTAGAAAATTGTTCAGTATGTATCATTATAAATTAATGGTGTGATATTGATCAAATTCAATTGGTCCTTTTGACACATTTGAGCTACTGAACAAAGTAGTTGCAATTTAACACCGGTATGGGAGGTGATTTGTGAATAGCATTTTAACATTTGATATAACGTAGTCAGTGTTTGGTTCTCTTATATGCATCATACATTTATATATATTATATACATATTTAATAATGTTTTTCAGTAAGCTGAACAAAAGTGACCAGAATAATTTAATATGTAGTAACAGCTATAAGCTTGCACTCCTTAGTGCACCTTGTTGTTTACTAGTGACTGATGATTCCCTTTATTTTGATTCTTAGGAAGCACGTAAAGCTCAGCTGGAGAACCATGAGCCAGAAGATGAAGAGGAAGACATGGACTTGGATAAGGACATGCAGGACTCTGGTCAGTTTTCTTTTATACTCGGCCACTGCAGTTCTCTTCACTTACTTTTTACTGAATTGGCTAGACTACGGTAATGTCAGTGTGTCTGCTAAATCATTCACCATCTGCTCTGTGTGATACTTGAATTGTTTTCTGCAGGTGATGACAAAGAGAAGGGCAGCGGCAGTGAGGCAGAGAACTCTGGTAGTGAATCTGAGAGGGAGGATGAAGAGCGGGAACAAAGGGGAGAAGATGAGGATGAGGATGAGGACAGAGGGAAGAGAAGGAGGAAAGCAAGCGGCAGTGGAAGTGAAAGCGGTGAGGAGAGGACCAGAGAGATGCGAGACGAGGAGGAGATCTTTGGCAGTGACGACGACAGTGACGACAACGAGCCCAAGAACTCAGCCAGGAGCAGTGGAGACGAGGGCAGTGGGAGTGAGGATGAAGGTGGGAACAGAGGAGGCAGCAGGAGTCGCAGTGCGTCTCCAGCGCACAGCGACCGTAGCAGTGACCATTCAGAGACCCGGGCTCAAAGTGGAAGTGGAAGTGAGAGAGGCTCAGACTCCAGTGATGCCAGTGACAGTGAATGAGACCTGTGGTCCGGACAGCTTGGCGACGGCTACCTATCTTATCTGTATGTTCAGCCAGCTACAAACACTGATGATTGCAAATATCCAATGAAATTTGTGAGCAAGATGCTCATTGCTTTTGGACTGGGATCTCTCTTCAGTCCAATTTTTAGATTTAGCCCAAGTACCAGTAGGTATTCGTACGCCATTCCCCTGATTTTGTCTGTCAGATATTTAGTATAGTATCATGTAAAAATGTCTTTGTTCTCTCAGCTATTGACATGTCATTATGTTACAGCTTTGAAACTGATAATAAATTGCAGGTGGCATTTTGTAAGGAACTCAGTGGTCAAAGGTTGTTGTTTTTCCTTCTTTAGCGAATGAAGGGAACCTATAAGTCATTCCGTGAATGTGACCGCTTAATTTAGTCCAATAAGTATAGGATTATCTGTGCTCCATTTAATAACAATAAAACATTTGATTTGTTTAGTTGATGCTCAATTCAGACTTTTGTTAGAAAACAATATTAATATGGTTTCAATGCAAAACTGACAAATTAAAACATAATTGTGCAGAGTAAATCATTTAATAGCAATAGCATACACAAAAATTGAAACTTAAAATTGAAGGGCATGTTTCACAAAGAAAGAGACCGATAGTTTAGGAAATGAGAGAAACTCAATCAGCGAAAAAACGACAGTTGGTTCTTCAGCCATTCCTCTGTCAAGTCGTCAGCGTTTCTTGTTTCAAAGACCTCAGAGTAAAGCAGAGAATGTCACATTCAAACAAATTGCACAACATTAAAGGGATGATTAACTGGCTAACTGGTCTGACAAGTGCAGGTATTAACTTAAAATGATTGTGTTTTGTTTTTTTGTTTTTAACTGAATAATCTCTGAATGCATAATTTCCATGTGATTCTCATAAAATAATGAAAAGTTCCAGATGTGGAATTTTAAAAAATGCAGAAATTGAGAAGGACGGCTTTACCTATAAACGCACTGCTCTGAACAAGGGTGGTTTATTTTTAGATGATGTTAAAATTATAAAACTACAAGGTGATAAAATAGAGGTGAAATTTTGATATAATTACCTTTGTGAGCTCTGCAGCTTGGACCAGTCGATTCTTGCTGCCAGCGTACATCATCTGTTGCTCTGGCTTACATCCTGTTAAAATGCAGACAACATTTTCCCAAGGGATTCTGTCTTTTGACTAGTCAAACATAAATCAACAAACCCAACTGATGCCAATTTTCATAATTCTGCCTTCAGTTATTCTTCAAATAATAGTTCAGTCTATGGAGAAAGATCAGTTTTGACTTAAAAAAAGATTATTACTTACCCATTGGACTGGAGAATATGAAACAAAGAGGGTAGGACACCCTGCCATCATCATGGACATACTTGTAGCTGTACACAATGAATGTGCACTTTTGTCAAGGAACTTAAAGTACAGTCAGTTTGTAGTCTTACTATAAATGGAGTGTTTGCTAATATACTTTGTGAGATTTTTCTCTATTCACAAGACATTCAGTGAGGATATCTGGGTTGCCGCTCTGGAAGTTCATCTCTCAACTCATCCAGTGAGATGTTCTGAAAGACAAAGTTGAGTGAGTGACTTTCAGCTCTGAATTAAATCATCTAAAAGAGAAAAATTACAACACTTTGACTTGCCTCATATTCCTCCTCGAGAATAACAAGCTGTTTCTCCATGTCTATTTTCACTAAGACATAACAATGAATATTTAGACTTTTGGTTCATTTTTATATTTGCTGATTCACCGATATTTATATGGGATTTAAATCTGTGTTGATCAAGTTAAAAATGTGTTAGAGTGGAGATGTGATACTTACTTAGTATGGCAGCATTGTTGGTCTCTTTCCGAAATCTAAACTTTTTCAGTTTATCTTTCAGACTTTCATCCACTTCACACACAACCAGAGAGCTTGACTGCAAAATGGCGTAAAAAATATTACTCAAACTGTGTCAATCTAAGAAATATGAAGACATGATCTTCCTGTGCTTCTGATAAAGTTAAGTGGATTGATCTATAGGACATAAATAGAAACAAAGAAAGAGGGTAAGAGACATCTGCTTGATCTGTTCAGATGTTCATGTCTATCCACCTTGTGGGGATGCTTGAAACATTTATGCTAACTATTCTGACATATTGAGGACAGGAAATGTTTGTGCTGCAACAAGCAAGAATGTAGTTTCCTGTATGAAAGAGCGCGGGGGACGTCCAACTTGTCGCAGTGGTAAAGTAAAAAATATATATGCATAGATACGTTTGAGTGACAGTTCATCAAATCCAATAAATTTCAACAGAAAAGCAAAATGTTTCCAACAATTGCATCAGTTTCACCTACCATTATCAAAGGATTCTTTTTCCGCCTTCCTGTCTTCAGGGTGATACTGCCTTGCTGAAACTGTTTGCGACGGACTGACAGCTACTCTACTGTCAAGAGATCCTCCTTAAGATGGCAAGGGGAGGACACACAGAAAGGACATGCATTAGTGCTGCTTCCTCTTTTCAACAGCACGAGATGATGCCGACATGAAGCTCAGCCGTGTGTTGTAAGAAACAGTGTGACCATCTTTTAAAACAAAATAGATCAAGGAAAAAATATGCATACAAAACCTGTAAATGTTAGCATGACAGAAGAGACTGGGGTGTTTAACTTGAATAGATCCATACTGTTTGTAGCTGAAATAGATCAATTTTACCATAGGTTGTGTATCACTACCACTTTACTGTAGAATTCTTTCAGCGTTGGTTACAGTTACTTTCATTTCCCATTATCTCACCCGAAGTAAATCAAATACTTGAATCCTTAAAACTAACAATGCCACATTAGAAAAAATACTCTTAAGATATAAAGTCTCACATTCACGTTTATAAGTCAAAGTATAGAAATATATGCAATAAATTGTACTTGAGCATCAAAAGTAAAAAATCTTCATAAGATCACTGTTTTTGTTGCATGGTGCATAATGTTACTGGAGTAGATCAGATTATAGTGTATGTTTTCTAGGCTTTTGATCATTGAGTCTTGCACTTGCTCTGTGTTACACTTTGTGCCACTTCCCTGCATGTTTCAAACTGTAGCCTACATGACCCCACTTCAACACACACTACATGACTGTCATGCACAGCCATGTCACTGTAACTGGAAGAACAGGTTTATTATCCCAGTGAGTATCTTACATTACATTACATTACATTGGGTGCAGTTGGGGTTTAGTGGAGGAGGAGCCATAGACCAAATATATTTAATTAATGATCCTCTCTACAACCTGTGCAAACTAATGTATCACATACAGCAAAAAAATGCAGCTATACTTCTCTCTACTGATGGAAACTTTAGGTCATGTTGCAGCTCTGGCCACACCTCAGTCTGTGATGTAACAGCAGGCCCTTTGCCAGTCACAGCTGATAGCGAACACCTGCTGTAACAACTGATAGTGGCCAGAAGACATTATGCTTAAAACCCACTCTGAAGAAACAATTCAATAGTTTAATCTAGTGCTGAAATGGTAAGCTGATTCATTTTTGATAGTCAGTTAATCATTTAAGTCATTCTCAAGAGGGCCTGTAGCTCAGATCTTAAAGCATGTTGCCTGTCAATTGTGGAATTGACAATTTGATTCCCATATGCTTGAGCAAGGCACTGAAACCCCATCAGCTCAGAATCAGTGTGTATGTGTAGTAGGCAAGACATCTGTTATATCCTGTCCTGTTTTCTCAGTTCCATAAAATAATAAACAGAATAGCCTTGTGTTTTGATTCAACATTATAGGGTTAGGGTTGGAAACATGGTAGTCATTTTTCCTCATTTCTGAGACTAGTGGTAGACTAGGACTAGGTAACTGGTTACTCAGTTACAAGCCAAGGAAAATCAGATTTTTCTCTAATACTAAAACTTGTACCACAATATATATATATATTACAGGCTAGTTTGCATGTTCTGTGTGGTTCAAAGACCTCAGAGTAAAGCAGAGAATGATCACATTCAAAACAAATTGCAAACATTAAAGGGATGATTAACTGGCTAACTGGTCTGACAAGTGCAGGTATTTAACTTAAATGATTGTGTTTTTTTTTTGTTTTTAACTGAAATAATCTCTGAATGCATAATTTCCATGTGAATTCTCATAAATAATGAAAAGTTCCAGATGGGTGAAATTTTAAAAATAATGCAGAAATTGAGAAGGACGGCTTTACTACTAAACGCACTGCTCTGAAACAAGGGTGGTTATTTTTAGATGTATGTTTAAAATATAAAACTACAAGGTGAATAAATAGAGGTGAAATTTTGATATAATATACCGTTTGTGAGCTCTGCAGCTTGGACCAGTCGATTCTTGCTGCAGCGTACATCATCTGTTGCTCTGGCTTACATGCCAGGTTAAAATGCAGACAACATTTATCCCGAGAGGTTCTGTCTTTTGACGTAGTCAAACAATAAATCAACAAACCCAACTGTATGCCAATTTTTCATAATTCTGTCCTTCAGTTATTCCTTCAAATAATAGTTCAGTCTATGGAGAAAGATCAGTTTTGACTTAAAAAAGAATTATTACTTACACCATTGGACTGGAGAATATGAAACAAAGGGGTAGGACACCCTGCCATCATCATGGACATACTTGTAGCTGTACCAATAATGTGCCATTTCACTGTTGTCAAGGAACTTAAAGTACAGTCAGTTTGTAGTCTTACTATAAATGGAGGTGTTTGCTAAATATACTTTGTGAGATTTTTTCTCTATTCACAAGACATTCAGTGAGGATATCTGGGTGCCGCTTTGAAGTTCATCTCTCAACTCATCCAGTGAGATGTTCTGAAAGACAAAGTTGAGTGAGTGACTTTCAGCTCTGAATTAAATCATCTAAAAGAGAAAAAATTACAACACTTACTTGACTTGCCTCATAATTCCCCTCGAGAGCATATCACAGCTGTTTCTCCATGTCCTATGTTTCACATTAAGACATAACATGAATATGATTTGAAACTTTTGGTTCATTTTTATATTTGCTGAATTCACCGATATGTATATAGGTGGATTGTAAATTGTGTTGTAATGTCAAGTTAAAAAATGTGTTGAGAGGTGGTGAGATGTGATACTTACTTAGTATGGCAGCATTGTTGGTCTCTTTCCGAAATCATAAACTTTTTCAGTTTATCTTTCAGACTTTCATCCACTTCAACAACACAACCAGAGAGCTTGACTGCAAAATGGCGTAAAAAAATATTACTCAAACTGTGTCAATCTAAGAAATATGAAGACATGATCTTCCTGTGCTTCTGATAAAGTTAAGTGGATTGATCTATAGGACATAAATTAGAAACAAAGAAAGAGGGTAAGAGACATCTGCTTGATCTGTTCAGATTGTTCATGTCTATCCACCTTGTGGGGATGCTTGAACAACACATTTATGCGTATAGCATATCTATGACATATGGAGGACAGGATAGATAGTGTCTGTGCGGTGGGGCAACAGCAAGAAGAATGTAGTTTCCTGTAATGAACGCGCGGGGACGTCCAACTTGTCGCAGTGGATAAAGTAAAAAATATATATGCATAGATACGTTTGAGTGACAGTGATCAAAATAATAAATTTCAACAGAAAAGCAAAATGTTTCCAACAATTGCATCAGTTTACCTACCATTATCAAAGGATTCTTTTTCCGCCTTCCTGTCTTCAGGGTGATACTGCCTTGCTGAAACTGTTTGCGACGACTGACAGCTATCTTACTGTCCAAGAGATCCTCCTTAAGATGGCAGGGAGACACACACAGAAGGACATGCATTAGTGCTTGCTTCCTCTTTTCAACAGCGCACGAGATGATCGCGACATGAAGCTCAGCCGTGTGTTGTAAGAAACAGTGTGACCATCTTTTAAAACAAAAATAGATCAAGGAAAAATAATGCATACAAAACCTGTAAAGTTTAGCATGACAGAAGAGACTGGGGTGTTTAACTTGAATAGATCCATACTTTTTGTAGCTGAAATAGATCATATTTACCATAGGTTGTGTATCACTACACTTTACTGTAGAATTCTTTCAGCGTTGGTCTGTTATTTCATTTCCCATTATCTCACCCGAAGTAAATCAAATACTTGAATCCTTAAAACTAACAATGCCACATTAGAAAAAATACTCTTAAGATATAAAGTCTCACATTCACGTTTATAGTTCAAAGTATAGAAATATATGCAATAAATTGTACTTGAGCATCAAAAGTAAAAAAATCTTCATAAGATCACTGTTTTTTGTTGCATGGTGCATAATGTTACTGGAGTAGATCAGATTAATAGTGTATGTTTTCTAGGCTTTTGATCATTGAGTCTTGCACTTGCTCTGTGTTACACTTTGTGCCACTTCCCTCTGCATGTTTCAAACTGTAGCCTACATGACCCCACTTCAACACACACTACATGACTTGTCATGCACAGCCATGTCACTGTAACTGGAAGAACAGGTTTATTATCCCAGTGAGTATCTTACATTACATACATTACATTGGGTGCAGTTGGGGTTTAGTGGAGAGGAGCCATAGACCAAATATATTAATTAATGATCCTCTCTACAACCTGTGCAAACTAATGTATCACATACAGCAAAAAATGCAGCTATACTTCTCTCTACTGATGGAAACTTTAGGTCATGTTGCAGCTCTGGCCACACCTCAGTCTGTGATGTAACAGCAGGCCCTTTGCCAGTCACAGCTGATAGCGAACACCTGCTGTAACAACTGATAGTGGCCAGAAGACATTATGCTTAAAACCCACTCTGAAGAAACAATTCAAAGTTTTAATCTAGTGCTGAAATGGTAAGCTGATTCATTTTTGATTCTGTTAATCATTTAAGTCATTCTCAAGAGGGCCTGTAGCTCAGATCTTAAAGCATGTTGCCTGTCAATTGTGGAGAACAATTTGATTCCCATATGCTTGAGCAAGGCACTGAAACCCCATCAGCTCAGAATCAGTGTGTATGTGTAGTAGGCAAGACATCTGTTATATCCTGTCCTGTTTTG